TTGATATTTTCGATAAGCTTGTCGTATCTTTCAAATAATTTAATGGCTTCATCCGCATCTTTTATCCTGTGTACAAATTAGTTATTCAATTGTTTATCACTAAGAAAACGCTATTCATATTAACGCAATAATTTATTAAATATCGTATTGTATGTAGTTAAACAGAACTGAAGTGTATTAATTTTGTCTTCTTTTGTTTTTTACATTTTCAGAAAGCCAAAATAAAAACGATATTTTCTTCACTAATCTGCAATTCCACGCTAGAATGTCTATAATTCGGTCACTAGAGTAGTTCTTTAATACTTCAAAAAGGGAACGTATAGAGTTAAAGAAGATTTTAAGCCAGATAATCAGCTTTCGCAATTTGCCCCACCCCGCTGACTTACGGGTGCGGCAAACTGCGAAAGCAGGCTATAGGCTTGGTGATTCTCGCAGCTAGCATCGTCATGAACAGCAGTCCTCCTGCTACCGGCGGCATGTATAAATCAATCTCCATATGCCCGTACTTATAAAGACGATTTGACTGCTCTGTAAAAAGTTCCTGCAAAAATATAATTGTGATTATTATTGAATCGTGTTCTGTTTTAAAAGTTGTTTGTGCTTACCTCACATATTTGCAACTCCTTTTCCAACATAACAATAATTTCGACATATTTTGCAGTGAATTCATTTTTGATCAACGGACGATCTAACACCGATCCAACAATATCAATCAACTGCAAGAAATAATGCAATAAATTTCTTGTACTTATTTTTTTACAAAAAATTACTTTTGTGTGTACATACTTTAAAAATAGCTTCTAGAGTGGAACAGTTATCGAATGATTCAACTAAAACTGTGGATAACTTAAGATCTAAATCAATAATATTCTCTTGAAACTCTTTGAAGTCGGCATTAAATGTTTCATCATCTGGATCCAAAACATCATAGGATTTTGAGGCAAATTCATGGAAATACGCGTCAAATTCAGCTGAAATGTCTCTTATTTGACCACTTAATACACGCCCTTTCATTCCACCCACTTCGATCTTCTCAAGCTTTTGAAATTCCAGAACAGTTTTAAAAAACCATTGTATAGTGTTCAATCTTTCTAGAAATTTATTCATTCGTTCAAAAACTACGTTTGGATGAAACGTCCAAGGTACCACTGTTCGGTCGACGAAATATTTTGGTAAATTCTCTTTAAAGTAATCAAATGTTTGTCGAAACTTTTTCAGAATGTCTATAGTTAATTGGATTCGTTGTCTAGCTTCGTCGATGTCACTATGGAATAATGTACTGGGATCTAAACATTTCTTTGCCTAAAGAAATATTAAATCAGTTGAAATTGAGAAATTAGTCGTATATTACTTAAAATTGTGTCTAAATTACCTGATAAATGAGTAAATTGCATATTTGTTTAATAAGAACCATCAGTTTTGAGGAGCTACAATAATATTTTGAATCTCTCCACACCATACAGATTACATGAAACAGAGGTCGGAACAAAGGCTGACATTCGGTAAAGTCTGTATCTTCCAAAGATTGGAAATGTTTCTCTAATGTTTTGAGATATAAATCAATTTCTCGAGCTTCTGCCAAAGCTGTAATAAATAGGTAAATATGAAAACATGAAAAAAAAGTAGATCAGCAAGGTATCATATACCAATTAATTCTGGACTTGTTTACCTGAAACAATGTTTTTGAACAATCGACTAAAGCAAGGGTAGTACGCCGATGTGGTCTTCTCGAGTATAACCGCCATACAACGAACTCGTTCTGTTCGCAACTGGTCATAAATGTAGTTTAAATTGCTAAGTCTAGATTTCCAAAAAGCTAGCTCTGAAAAAAATTACAAGCCTAAATGCATGAGCTGTTTATGGAAAATCTATCGTTGTGCTTGTAAAGAAATTTAATTATAAATTTAAGAAACTTTAATATTGGAATTCTTCTAACCAACATTAGGCAGCGGATTTAGTCCGTTATCAAAGGCCTGCGACGAATCCTCTGTCATAACATCATTGATTTGCTGCGCCCATTTTATAACGACGCCTTCGATAGCACTCTTCAGATATAAATCTACTTCTTTCCCTTTTAATATTTCCTTTTCAGCTTCGTGTACTAGTTCTACGCCTACAGGCATTGGTAGAACCGTTTGGCCGTTAACTTTACCTTTAACCTATAACATCACAAATATTAAAAAAAAACTTGTAATTAATTTTATGGAACCATGGTAATTTTATTTTTATTTTAAAGTTGCTAAAATGCTACTTATTTGAAAAGGCTAAATTCACCTGAAGTAAAGAACAAGGTAATAAAAGAAAATGCGTATATTTGCATAATCTAGATGATTAGTATCCCAGACATTAAATGCAACCTTCTTTATAATACTAATGTTAAATATATGCTGATTACATACATCACATTACGTAACATCACTGTATTTAGTGTCAAAAATGAATTTACAAAATGTATTTTTGTTTGCATGTTGCGTACCTCGTATACTGTGCTTTTGAGATTGTGAATTTGTTTGAGAATATCCTGTGACACGACCAGTGGCCAGCCCTCGTGGTTCAGTGGGTTCGAGAGCAGCGGCACGAACACTTCATCCACTAATGACGCTAGCTCGTCTATCAATCTAGGTGCTAAATCGCCTGGATTTAAACATATGCTTGTTTAACTTAATTGAATTGAAAATCGCTGCCATTTTCAAGTATGTTGAGTTATACCTATTCTTAGTAGTTGTTCAGTTCATATTTTATTAAAACCACATTTTACATTTACTTAATACTTACCATGAACGTATACTTACCAAAAATAACCATATCAGCACAATTCTCTTTAGGAACGACATCAGGCTTCTTCTTAATGTAATAAACTGCTTTATTCTTTAAACAACAAGGAAAAGAGATGACGGGAACAAGCTGCGCGGCGTGTGTCAAAACTACGACTAAAAGCAAAGGAAAGGGCTTGTCTACGAATTCTTTTAGGATACTTCTGTGCTCTTCTACGCTCACAAGACGCATCCATTTCTCTGGCTTGAGTTTGAGCGATTTTACAGCGTAAGAGCCAATAAAATCAAATCGAGGGTCTTGGTTAGAAGATGAAGGACCTGGCTGGTCCATTTTGACTGAGTAGAAACTTATATCAACATCATGAAGGAATCGGTATTGCTGGCTCTTTGTACGACTGCTGAAGAAGTATTGAAAGACGAAGAAAAGGTAAAGGCTTGGAAAATAGCAAGTCACGCAAGTTGAACGCGATGTCATTATGAAACGACTTCTCCTTTGTAACGAGCTATAAACTTTACGAAAATAGACCTGCATTTACGGTGTGCAAAAAAACTTCACTAGAAAGTTTTTGGATATAGGAAATCAAAATATCCCTTTTAATTCTGATCGTTCTAACATTAAATTAATTTTAATTGTATTGGTGGTGCCATACGCAATTAAAAATAATCAGAGAAATTAGAATTTTGTACTTATCTATTATGTTTGTTAGTTGACAATCCTCTTTTAATTTGCTAGTGTTAAAAAATAAGGGAATTAAAAATTATCTAACATTTTTAATCCTAAATCTTATGGAAATTTTCAGTTTCCTATTTAATTATTGTTTTATATTTCTGTAGACCCTACTTGTAAGCAGAAGTAAAGCAGTGCCAGGCAAAAGGCGCGCCACCCCGCGACCGCGCGACAGCCAGACGACACTCGCACGACGTCGCGAATAAGGTCAACCCATATTGTGCCCTTTGTCACAAGATATAAGCGACAGCGATTAGAATAAAAAATAGAAAAATCGTCGGTGTGAAAGTGAAATCGTTTTATTACCGGCATTACCCTTACCACAGACCACAGCAATAACATCAGTAAACCACGAAGTAAAACTATTAAAAATATCAAAAGCGAAAAGAAACGTTAATAGCTTAATATTGAGATATTAGTTTGCTACAACTTTTGCAAGTAAATAAGTCGTAAAAACGAGTATTGTGACCTTTCTAGCCTAAAATTCAAAGTTTTTATCACACAAATCTTTCTTATTACCTACTTATTTTATTATTATTAATTATTTTTATTTTAATAACATAAATGTAAAAGTCGAGATGAATGTATGGATGGAAGGATGTTTGTAGCCAAAACAGCTGAACGGTTTTCGTTGAAATTTGGCATAGATGTAGAGGTTAGTCTGGAAGAACACATAGGCTACTCACTTTTGTTTTTTTCAGTTCCACGCGGACGTAATAGCGGGCGAAAGCTAGTAGTCAATAAAATCGTCAGTTGTGTAACTATGGGGAGGCCTTTTTACCATCGTCATGTAATTACGCATATTCTTATGTCTTGGTTCAACATCAAGTAAAAATGTCAATCCCGATTATATAAAATACAAATTATGTGGATAGCATGCCATTTTATTTACTTTCAGTTCAATGATTGAGGCAAAATAAATATTTACTATAACTTGTTTAAGTTTTGGAAGATTTTGATTACTCTATACATTTGTTACAAATTTGCATACACTGATGGCGAAGATCGGTTAATTTTTCGAACTCAAAGTTGCCTTTGTATTGTTTAATTTCTTTCTGGATAAAAGAAACTTGTAACTATTTTTAAAATCTGATACTATGTTTTGCCGATTACGATTACATCAAGCGAACTATGCAATTTTCGGAACTAAATTATTACGAATGCTTACTAATTCTGCGAGACTTCTATTAAATGTAAGAATCGATCAAACAAATGAAGACTTTTATTTATGTTGTGTTACAAATGTATGTATATTGGTGTATTCAAACTTCTATATAGAATTTACTACTACGGGTCTTACTAGCATGCAACTTCTATTCCAAAAGTATTCTACTAACTAAAACAATAAAAAAGGATATAAATGGAAATGTTCACTAAAAAAAACGCCAAATTTTTTTTTATAATACATTTATTGATAATGACAGCGATGGTTGACTGAAATCCGCTACTTGGCAAAAATACTTCCACTAAAAGTGAACTATTTTTGTATTATTTTTTTAAAATCTCTTTATTCATGCTTATGTTTACAATAATGAAGTTCCAACCATCTATAGCTACAAAGTAGCTGCCTATTCTAGGTTCGCTATCACATTAAATAATTAAAAATACATACATTTTGTGATTCAAATTTATTTGCACAGTTAAAAAAACGGGCAAATCAATAACAATTCATTCAAATAAACATGGAATTAGGTTAAAACTAAAATACGCACAGGTAAGCTCATTTAAGTTGAATTGACTGCAATAAATATAAACGTACAATAATACAACTACACGATTATAAAATTATATAATAAAACAAATAATTTCATTTACCTAAAGAACTAAACATTTTAAAACGAAAGCACAGCACATGTTCAGCTTAATTTCTAAAAATAAAAATTAGGAGCTACGAGAGGCTGCTTTAAGGTCACTATTTGCCTAAACCTAGGAGCCCTAGTGCTTATTCCGCCACGAACCAGCCTTCTGCTGAACTAACAAACTATCAACACCGCATTAATTCAAGTAAAACCAAAAAAACTTACTTGTTTTTAGAAAAAAAAAAACATAATGCCCAAGATACATAAACCTGCTGCTCAGCTAACATTTTTTGAACCATAGTCTTTTTGTTTTAAAATTACAATAAAAAGGCTGTAAAAGCTGTTTATATGAGATTTTTGTTTTTTCTTTGTCAAAGTATGGTGTTGCCAGTTTGTCGGTTCAGTGTCGCGTGTCCTCACTATAGCTACTGGACAAAAGCACATCAAGAATTTCAAAGACACATTCTACTTTTATTTTTGATAATTTTCAATACTTCAATTATATTTCACTTTCGACTACACTTTGAGCTTTACTCGTCGAGTCCTAGAGGCCGGCTTAACAACGATATAGTTATCAATTCAATATATTTAAAATGCAAAAAACGAATGCAATTACCAAATATCGTCTATAAAAATCTAACTTACGATCGAAAATTATTTCTATCGAATGTCTGTTCGTTACAAATGCGAGATATTAAAAAAACAAATACAATGGAATGTTTAAGTACCAAAGTCGAAGCACGCGATGTCGTGTAATGTCGTGTAAAGTCGTGAAGCTTGCGAAATAACGAACGAGTTAAAACCTCGAGTGCGTTTACAATCTGATATATAATTTAGTGAAACTTCAAAGTCGAGAAATGCCTTACAATTAATATGTTAATATACAATATAGTGTACAATGTAGGCAAGTGGCGGGCTAAGATGAACGCTCGAGTGAACTTACAAATATTAGATAAAGAGGCGTTTTATCTATTCGTGTGTACTCATTTAATGTACTTAGATACGATTACTTGACTAAGAGGATGGAATATACATTAGGTGAGCTAGGCTGCGGCTGCGGGTACCGGCCGCTAGCCGCTAGCCGCTAGCCGTCGCGGCTCCGCGACCTTCGTAGTGTACAGTTTCACCGCTTTATTGTTCGAATGTGGATGGAAAGACGAGGACAAGATCGATACAAATGATGTATTCAATATACACCGTGCCTGAACACGAACTACAAACATTTTTTTTTGTATATATTTTATTTTACATCTCAAAACTTCTACACAACCTAATCGATATAAATTCGGAGCGCAAGTAACAAGCGATATTCATGAATTTTAAGTACGATAGAAAATATTTTAAAGAAATATTGAGCAGGCAGTAAAATTAGGCAGTAATGTTGATTTGAAATGGTCCATGTAATTACCGCGCGCGCTTGTCACTTGCGCCGGGCTGCGGGACCGTTGCGGGTACGGTGCGGGTCCGGTGCGGTTTCGGTGTGTCGTATGACCGTCGAATGCGTCGTGTGTACTAAGTACCAAGTCTTTTATCAGGACGAAGATGTGAATTTGGACGATTCTTTGTTATTACAAATCAAAAGGAGCGTTTTAGGGACGGGCGTCGCTTTAATACACTACAAATAATTTTATCGTCTTTTAGTCCCGTGGCAAGAAACTATCACATCGGACAGGCAGTTAACACTAAATACAGAAGCTGAGCAATTTAAATTAAGTCTGAACGAAATAAGTACAAGAGTTATTTGAAATAATATGAGCAAGATTAGACTCGAAAGGATATTTAATAGTCAAATAAACAAAAATAATATTTGTATAGAAGATAATTTTTAATACGAAGGAGAGATCATTTAAAACCATAACATTTTCGTTTCTGTCGTATAAAGTATTAAAGATGGACCTATTGCATTACAATACAAGTACTATTGTTAAAAATAATTTATCGTAAAATCTAACCACAAACTATACAGTAAAAAAACACTATAGTACCGTAAATTTTCATCACCGATCACAAAACTATTCATTGGCTCTAAAAATTAACACACACACAAAGATTCACATATTTACATAGAAATTAATATAATAAAAATCACATGTTTTAATTATTAAAAAAAATGTCAATTCTATATACAATTACTTCACTAACTGTCAATGAATAAAATTATTGTGAAACGACATTAAAATAACTAATGCATCACTAGATATTACTACTCGTGCACGAAAACATGGTACTTGTCAACTATGACGTCACGAATATGATTCTATTTGTCGCATTTAGCAGAAATACGGAAACAAACAATTCACATAATCTAATTCTTTATTTAAATATTTCAATGGCTTACAATGTCTTTTAATTTTATGTATTATAGGTTTGTTGTTTCTACTGTAGTTTGAATTTTTAGTTATTCAGCCGAATGGTTTCCAAGTATCATGTTATGGTGCACGTGTAGTAACGTAGTGTCGAATGTACGAAACGGCCGCCGTCGTATGCTTATTGAACTCTCAACAAACACGAGAGGGTCCGTTTCCTTCAACTAAATTCGATTAACGGACATAATTGAAATAAATTAAAATTAAGGCATACCAATATTGCTTTGCCCACTCAATAGTTACCTATTTCTGTAAATCAACATGAGATTTTATATAAGAAAATTTCACTTTAGTATTTTTGTCTGGATTAACAATTACGTCGATTTTCTTTCGCATATAAAATCTCATGTAAAATTGAATTGGGATAATATAATAAAGCACCATAACGCGTAAAGTGTGCAAATAAAGTAGGGGGGATGTTCTGGAGGGATATGGAGTGTAATGTCAGTGGTGACGTTGCTGACTGCAGACTGCCGACTTCTGAATGCCGACTTCCGAATGCTGACTACCGACTGCCGACTGCTGTCTGGTGTTTATTTACTCCGCGTCTTTCCAACCACGTTTATGCTGTCGCCGCGACTCCGCGATCGATGCAGGTTGTTTACATTCTCAACTGGAACATACATTAATTCATGTTTAAAAATAACGCCATCTATACTAATATTATAAAGAGGAAAGATTTGCATTATTGAAATAACTCAAAAATAACGAGGCCGTTTCCAATAATTATATCACCATTAAAAAATCTAAGTTGTCGCTTAGTAATATAGGCAAAAATTTTTTTTCCAAAATCAACACAAATTATTAGCACACTGTTATACACAGAGGGAATAAAAAACAGCAGGACATTCGTCGATATTAAATTATAGATAACAATTTTCGAGTTAAGTTTCTACGGCTTAGTAATTCAGCGTGTTCAACGATTTAATATTTAATGTATCAGACACACATTCTTTTTTAATTGGTTTAAAAATACATCTTTTAATGTCAGATTGATAAAGGTTCTGTAATAAATTGTAACGTGTATGTAATAATTAGTGAGGTTACCCTTGGTGTGCGCGCGGCGCAGCTCGGCGTCGCGGAAGGCGCGCGCGCTGCGGCCGCGCCGGTCCTGCGCCAGCTTGTCGGGCCGCACGAAGATGCCGTGTCGCGCGCGGCACGAGAAGTACCGCGTGCCGCCCACGGACCCATCGTTCTTACCTAACACACACAAATCAAACACTTATTTTGTTTTATATCATAACGTGGTTTACGAGCAGGCGGCCACCTGAATCCGCTAAAATGACACAGCGACAGCTGCCCATAGACATTCATAATAGCAGATGCGTTGCCATTAATCGACAGAAGAGGAGACGCACATAAAGAAGATGATTCCCCCTCCAATGCGTCTACTGCACCGTCAAATCCACGTTCCCTTCCCATCTTTTTCATATAGGAAAAAGGGTGGGAAGGAAAAGGGAGTAAAGATGGACCTCCGCCACCGCACTCATCAGACGAAACGCGGGATTGCTCCCACTTCACGCCTATCTTCTGTGTGGTCGTGGTATTTCATCGAGCCAGTCGACCTATTCGTGCGAAAATGTTAAAGCGGACTCTTCCACTTGCTTACATATACTACACAATATTTTACTATTTTCGTTTTAAACAAACAATTGACTATTAAAAGTATGTAGTTACGTAGTTATTTACCAATAGGCGCGTCAAGCTCAACGCCCACCCATAACCCGTGTGCGAAGTGCGTGGGCCCCACGTAGGCGACCACGCCCGTGCCCGCGCTCAGCCGCAGCTGCACGCTCTCGCCCAGCGACATCCACTCCGGCGCCACGTACGTCTTGCCGCTCTCCATACACTCCTCTGCAACACAACATGTATTCTACTATTAAAAAGTCCATTTCTTGTTTGAATGCTTGACATTAATACTATTTCATATCTACTATACATACATATCTACTTTTGGGGGACGGAGTTGCTCGCGTCCGTAGGAGTTACTTGATAGATACCCTACACGTGTCCCCTGGGTTGTGCTAAACAAGCAACAAAATT